GGGGGGATCTGGCGGCGGCGGCGGCGGCAGCGGCGGTGCGCATGGCGGTTGGGGCTGCGCATGCTGCTCTTTTCCACGAGTGCTGCAGGTGGCCCCCCACCCCCCCCCCCCCTCCCCTGCGCCCATGCACCGAGGCCTCCAGTAGGGCCTGGCCGGGACCAGGCCCCGGAGGGGCGGAGTGGGACCAAGCATCCTTCGCGCTGGTGGTATTTCCGTCAGCGCGGTGAGCACTTCCCCTGACGCCCGGAACAGCGCGCCCCCGCATCCCCCTTCCTCCCCCTCCCTCCCTCTCTCCATATCCACCTTTCCCCCTCTCTTTTTCCCCTCTCTCCCCCCTCCCCCATTCCCCCTCTCCCTCCCCGCCGGAATGTCTTCCTCCGTCGCTGCGCCCAAGGGCAAGACCCTCGCCAAGGGCAAGGGTACTTTCGCCAAGGGCAAGACCAACCCCCTTGCTAAGGCGGCTGGCAAGCCTCGCAAGCCCCAGGATACCAAGGACATCTGGGTGTTCAGTGCGTCTTCCCCCGAGCCCGCCCATCTCCCCTTCTTGCCCCTTCTCTCTCTTCCCCTCCCCCCCTCCTTCTCTCTCTCACTCGCAATATTTCTCCCACACTCGGTTCTGATCCCTAACCTTCTCCCTCGGACTTGCTCCATGGCTTTCCCCTGCCCTGACCCGCTTGTGTGTCGCCTCTCCGCGCCCCCCCGCGCGCAGAGACCCAGGAGCGCGAGGATCCCGATGCCAAGAAGCCCGCCGAGCCGGCGGAGATCCTCTCGCGCCAGGAGCGCAAGGAGATCACCCGCCAGCGTCGCCTGGCCCGTGCCAACGGCGAGCTCATCCAGCAGCTCAAGAAGAAGTGGGAGCAGATTCGCATGAAGCACCTGTCGGCCGAGGAGCGTCGGCCCCTGCTCGCCGAGGCCATGGGGCTCATTCGCGATGATTGCGTCTCCGTGCGTGCTCCATGTTAGCATTACTGTCCCCCCCGGGTGGGTGCTCCTCTTGCCCCTTTCTGACACATCTTTTGTCTTGCCCCCCCCCCCCTCCTCTTGCTCTCCCCCTCCCCCTGCCGCCACTCGCAGCTCGTCCTGAAGCACGATGCCTCGCGTATTGTGCAGACCTGCGTCAAGTACGGCTCGCGCGCCGAGCGCGACGAGATCTGCTCCCTGCTGAAGGGCAACTTCGTCCTGCTGGCCGCCTCCCCCTATGCCTCCAAGCTGATTGACCGGCTGCTGGCCCTGGCGTACGTGGCACCTTCACCCTCCCCCTGCCTCGCCTTTGCCTTCCCCTCGCCATGGATGCGCGCACGGGGAGGGTGGTCCTGCCGTTTGGCGGGCTGGCGCTGACCCCGCTTGTCCTCATCAGTCCCTCCTCGCGCCCGGTCATCATCGGCGAGCTCACCGGCCATGTCACCAAGATGCTCACCCGTGAGGTGCGTCCCTGTCAACGCCCCTCCCCCTGCCCGCCCACTGCCCGGATTGATCCTCTGTCCCCTTTCAGGTCTCCTCCTCTCTCGTGCTTCGCCTGTCTGACTCTTTGCCCCCCTCCCCCCCCCTCCCCCCTGGTGCCTCGTTCCATGGATGCGCGGACATTTCACAGCGCCCCGCCGCCATCGTCGACACCATCTACTCGCTGTATGCCCGTGTTGCCGACAAGAACCAGATGCGCTGCGAGTTCTACGGCCGCGAGTTCGCCCTCTTCAAGTCCGACACGCCCAAGTCGCTGGCCGACATCCTGGCCGAGGTGCCGCAGAAGCGCGAGGCCATCCTCAAGTCGCTGCGCACCAACATCACGCGCATCCTCAACAAGAACACCTGTCGCTTCGAGATTGTCCACGATGCGGCGCACTCGCTGCTCTTCGAGCTGGAGCCGGCCCAGCGCCTGGAGTTCATGGAGGAGCTCCAGGACCAGATCCCCAACTTCGTGCACACCCCCAAGGGCGCGGAGATTTGCATGGAGATCATTGCCGCCGCCACGGCCGCCGTGCGTGTGCCCCCTTCCAGTCTCGTTGGCTCTTTTTTTTTCCCCCCAGCTGCCCTTCGCCTTGTGGCTTGGCTCTCACCGCCCTCCTCCCTCCCTCTTCCCATCCCCTCGCCTCGTCCTTCCTCTGGCTGGCCTGCTTTTGCTTGCGTTCCTCTCACTTTTCCCGGGGCCACGCCATCCTGCAGAAGCGCAAGGCGATCATCCGCTCCTTCAAGGACTTCGTCTATGGCATTGCCGAGAACCGCTATGGCTGGATGGTCCTTGTCCGCCTGCTGGAGAGTGTCGATGACACCAAGCTCCTGAACACCGGTATCCTGAACGTGCGCCTATACAGCCCCCCCCTCCCCCCCCCCCCCCCCCCCCCTCTCCCCGTTAAATATGCCCATCTCCTTCTCCTCCCCTGCCGCTTCCCCCTGGTGGGTGTCTTGTCATGGCCGCTCCCATTCACCGTCCTTCCCCTGTGCCGCCCTCCTGCAGGAGCTCCTCAAGGACCCGAAGAATGTTCTCTGCCACAGCTACGCGCGCCGGCCGATCCTCGGTCTTCTGCGCAAGCGTCCGGCCCGTTACTTCGACACGCGTGTCATCAAGCTCCTGGAGCAGACTGATGTCACGTCGGCGGTCACTTCCAAGAAGGACTTCGACCGGCGCCAGGGCGAGCTCCGCGCCATGGTGTCCCCGGTGTTGGTGTCCTTCGCGGCGGAGAATGCCAGCATCCTGCTGCGCAGTACCTTCGGGTCGGAGGTTTTCGCGGAGATCATCCTGCACGCGGACAACCCCGGGCCCGTGGTCGAGCAGCTGGTGGCCCTGATCCGCGCGCAGCCGGTCGCCCCGGCGGCCGACGCCAGCCCCATCGAGCTGCAGCAGCATCTGATGTCCAGTCCGCTGGTCACTCGCACCCTCAAGCGCATCATCAATGAGGAGGCCACCGCCGAGGGCGAGGCGCACCTGTCGGCCCCGCTGCTGGATGCGGTGAAGGACCGGATGGTGGAGTACGCCGACACCGTGGGGTCCTTCGTGGTGCTGGCTCTGCTGGAGTCGCCGGTGACGGCGGAGGCCGCGCATGCGGCTCTCAAGCCGCACTTGGCCGCGGTGGAGGCCCTCGAGTCGAAGGGCGCTCCGCTGATTGCCTCGCGCCTGAAGCAGGGCCCGAGCAAGCTGACCGAGCGCGTGGGCCAGGAGACCACCGAGGCCGCTGCCGAGGGCACCGCCCGGTCGCAGCTGCTGAAGCGCCGCAAGCGTGATCTGCTGAGCATCCCCGACTCCACCATCGGTGAGCTGAAGTACCGGGCCCTGCTGAAGGGCGACGCCGATGCGGCCGAGGCGGCCACCGCGCTGCTGAAGCAGACTGCCAAGGATGCCACCACCCCGGCCGATGCCGAGGCCGCGGAGGAGGAGGATGCCGAAGACGTTGAGATGGCTTCTGGCGACGACGACGACGACGACAGCGATGATGATGACGGTGACGACGACGACGACGATGGCAACGATGACGATGACGACGATGAGGAGGATGCCGACAGCGACGAGAATGACGATGAGGAGGATGAGGATCTCCCCACCGCCGAGGACACCACCCCCCGGAAGAAGATCCGCCTCCCCCGGCCGTCGACCCCCCGGTCGTCCATCCGCCGTGGTACGGTCATCCCCGCGCCCCTTGATGACGACGCCACGCCGATCAACCTGGACGAGTTTGTCACCCCGATGAGCGCCCCGCCGCGGTCCTTCCAGCTGGCTGGTGTCGAGTCGCGCAATGCCTCCCCGGTGCCCAAGAAGAAGGCCAGCCTTCAGTCGCATCAGCTGGCCGATGCCCCGGCTCGGGGCCGGTTTGCTGGTGGTGACGTCGAGCCCAAGACCCTCTTTGCCGATGCCAGCGAGGTGAAGGCCGCCAAGACCCGCGCCAAGCGGAAGTGAGCGCGCATCCCCCCCCCCCCCCCCCTCTCTGCTCCTCGCTCTTCCCCTTCCCTCTCCTCCTCCCCTGGTGGCAGAGGGAGGCCGGGCTGCTGAAGGACAGGACCGGGCCGGGGTGGTGGCAGTGTCACTGGTGTCTGCCGCCACTCTCGGATGTTCTCGCGGTCTTCCCTCGGGGCTTGCCCTTTCCCTTGGCCTCTTTCTTTCGCGCCAACTCGCATGCTCATGCCTCTCCCCCGCTCTTTGCGCCGAAGGAATGGCAAAACCAGCTGTGGTGGTGGCGAAACTTGGCCTCCAGGGGACAGGCGCGCCTCGTGAGGCCGATCCGGGAGGAGGGAAGGGCATGCGGGCGCGCGAGAGAAAGGGAGAGAGAGAGAGAGAGAAAGAAAGAAAGAAAGAAAACAGTCCCCCGGGCGATGCAGAGGCGCTCCATGCTCGGCACTGCTGCAGCCCCTTCCTTTTCCTTCGGGCACCTGTCCTCCCCCTCTCTCCGCCTCTGCCGCCCAGTCGCCTTGCTTTTGGCGCGTGCGCTCATGTGTGTGTGCGTGCCTGTGCCTGTGCCTGCGCTCGTGCCACCACTGTCGCCATGTCCTTCCCCTCCCCTCGTCCGATCTCTCCCTCCCTCTCTCTCCCTCCCTCTCTCTCTCTCTCTCTCTCCCTCTCTCCCTCTCTCCCTCTCTCCCCCTCTCCCTCTCTCCCCCTCCTCCCCCTCCCCCTGCGGCCTCCTTTCTGTACACTCACGCGCCCACTTACACGCGTCTGTTTCCTTCCCCCCCCCCCCTCCACCTCTTCCCCTGCAGCTAAGTAATCGCTTCCCAATTGAATGCGCGTGTCCCGCGGGGAACTCCGCGTGAGGCGAACTGACGTTGGCATCGATGCCATCATGTCGACTCTTGCGCTGCGGTTGCTGTTGCTGTTACTTTTCTGCTGCTACCCTTCCCACCCTTCCTTCCCCCTCCTCCCCCCACCCAGACCAGCCTGGGCTAGAGTTGGGTGCTTGTGCAAGCAGGCGCCCTGTTTTCCTCCTCCCGTGCGCATGTGCACGCTTCCCTCTCTCCCTCTCTCTCTCTCCTCCTCCTTCACACCATCCCCCTGCATCCCTCTTCTTCTGTCTCTTCCCCCCCCCCTCTCTCTCCCATGTATATGCGCAGTCACTGTCCTTGTAGCCTTTTCCCCCACTCTGTCCCCCGGGCACTTGCCCCGCTCGGAGGGCGCACACGCTCGCATTGCCAATATAATACCCAACACACGCACACAGCCACACGCATGCACATACATATTCAGACATACACCAATGCGAACGTGCACCTGTTCTTGCGCATGCGCCAGCGGCCGGCGCCCGTGCCCCTTTTTTTCACATGAACATGCTCATGCTACTCAGGCTGCTGGACTGGTGACCCGTCAGGACTGTTCCTGCTGCTGCTGTTGTTGCTGCTGCTGCTGATGGGTCGTTCCAGGCGGACATGGTTGCCAGGGAACACCCCTTCGGCTCGGGCCCCCGGCACCAGGCTCGGAGACCCGGGCAGGAGGTGTCCTCGCCACCAGGCGGAATGCTGTCCAGCTGGCGTCCTCCGGGACACCACGGCCAGGCGATCTCCAGGCTGGAGCGAGAGTTCGGCATCTGGTCACGACCAATGGGGGACGGAGAGGGAGGGAGGGAGGGAGAGGGCAGTAGAGAACAGAGCCGATTGCCATGTCAGTGGATTGGCCGCCAGCCAAAACGGCCCTTCCTGGATCACAGAGAGAGAGAGAGAGAGAGGGAAGGGAAGTTGGCTGAAGAGGCGTATGCGCAGGCACGCGGGTGTGTGTACGCACCACTGCCAGCGGTGAAGGAAAAAAGGGCCACAGCCACCTCTTCGGCCGGCCCGACCGGGGCTGTGGCACTGGAATCCCCGGCCGGCGGCCCGGCCAGCCGGGCGGCCTGTTGCCGGCGGAGCTCCTCCATGTGCTCGCGCGTTTGGCGGATGATTTGTGCCACGAAGTACGTGATCCCCACGGCCAGAGCAATGAGTATCCCCCGGGATAAACGGGCATCCGCCGAAGAGCTGGTCGAGGAGTCGGCCGAGGAGTCGGTCCCGGCGAACAGTCGCGCCGCATCCCGCGGCAGGACATCCCCACCGGGCCAGGCGTCGGCGGCAAGGGCGGCTGGCACTTCGATCCCGGCCAGGCGCAAAAGCTGGCGCCGGACCCACCGGCCGGCCGCCAGCAGCGAGGTAAACTGCGACACCAGGAAGGTGCTGGCCAGGCCGAACTGGGCAGCCAGCTGGACAGCCGCTCCGAAGGATGTGTGCAGGGCATGCACCGATGAGTCCAGGAGCTGGGCCAGGCCGCATGCCGCCCGGACAACAGACTCCAGCCTCGAGAGGGTTGGCGCGCCGGCCGAGTACATCGAGTGTGCCAGGCGCATCGGGTCCAGCGGGTCGCCGGGCTTGCCCGGCGCCAGGGCCGCCGTTCCCGAGCCATATCCATACTGCCCGAGTCCCGAGGCGCCGAGGCCAAAGCGCCCGGCGCCCAAGGCGCCATATGCACTGGCACCGGTGCCGTTGAACCCGCCCGATGAGTAGCCCGGGTAGGGGAAGCCCCCGGCTCCGGCTCCGGCCCCGTAGTAGCCAACCCCGCCGCCGGCATGGTAGCCATATGCCGCCGGTCCGTAGGCCGAGCTGGGCCCGCCGTACGGACCTGCGAGCCGGGGGTCATAGGTGGGCGCGCCGTACTCATTGATCGAGGTCGGGCCGTGGTCTTGGGATTTGGCGAAGGAGGAGGGGGAGGGGGAGGGGGAGGGGGCGCGGCCGGGGTCAGGTCACCAGCGGCTTGGGATAGGAGCGCGAGGTGGATGACGCACGTTGGGCAGCCACTGGCCGAGGTGGCACTACCGGGCGTGTGGGCTCGGTGGTCTTCGGTGCGAGGTTCGCCCCGCCCGCGGCCACTGGCGCTGGGTACGACGCATGGCCGTCGGCCGGCTGAGAGTTCTGGATACCCTGGCGCACAACGGCGTCTGCCGGCCGAGCGAGAGGGAGCCGCAAAGAAGAGATGGCCGAAGATGCGCAGGGAAGACGTCGAGGGGAAGAGGGGTGTCAGCGCGCGAGCATGCCGGGAGGGGGGAGGGGGGGAGGGACAGGCCCGCAGCACAGATCGGTCGCACCAAGCTCCAGCGACATGGTGACGCTGGACAGGAGACGAGGGAGGGTGGTAGGAGGTAAGTGGGGACCGACAGGGGGACGGCCGGAAGTGTATTTGGCTGGGAGGGGAGGGGGAGGGGGGGGGGGGGTTACTGCGATTGAATGGCTCTCCCCGAAGACGGTTCCGGCTCGGGCACACAAGAGGGCATTTGAATCTCGAGATCTCAGGTCGCCGAGGAGGCTCCGGGGCCGGGGCGCACAACAGGCGCATGAAAATGCTCCCCCCCCCCCCCCCCCCTATGGGTCACGGGCGCATCCCCTCCCGGGCGAGCATGAGAAAGCTCCTGACCGGGGGCCGGGACGATGGTTGCCCCGGGCCCCCGAGAGAGGGACAGAGAGAAAGAGGCAGACGGGGGCCTGCCGACACGGCGTTCGCCGCCGCCGCCGCCGCCGGGCCGAAAGTGGCCGCGGGACAAGGCCGATTGGCCGACCACCGGGCCGTCCTGCGAGACCGGCCACAAAGAGCCGATCTCCCCCCTGCGCGCCCCTGCCGCGGCGGAGGCCAGCCAATGGCCGGTGACAGATCGTCCTACAGTGCCAACGGACGATCGACGTCTGGCCAGACCCCACTGCTGGTGCCTTTCTCTCCCCCCCCCCCCCCCTGGGTACTCCCCCAGATCCCGCGCCAATGGTGGGTGCACTGATCGGCGCACTGGCAGCCGCAAGTCAGGCAGCGGCAGCCCAAGACCTGGCTGCTGGGTCTTACATCGGCATTTATCTGTCGGGGGCCGCCTCGTTTCTGGGCCCCCCAAACCCCCCCCCCCCCCCCGTCCGTGTCTGTGACCGGGGGCGGAACGTGGCGGGGGCCGTGCATGCGCGCCCGCCAGGAAATACTTGCTGTGACCCCCTGGGGTCTGACAGCCCTGCCTGCGCACGCGGCACAGGCAGGCACAAGGGGATGCAGGGAGAACAACAGCCACAGAGGAGGGGGTGCACACACGGAGGGTTTTCTTTTGGTATTTTTCGGCCGCAGCACCGGCGCCGGCGACGGAAACACGAGGGAAACAGGGAAGTAGGTCGAACATGGGGAAAGGCGTCGAGCGGCGCGCGCGGGAGCAAAGGGGGCCCCCATCGAGCAGCTGACTGGAAGAAGGACAGAAGGGGTGGGGAAAGTGGGGGTCACGGGGCCCGAGCGCGCCGGGGGGCCCCCGAGCCTCTGGGAGGCGGGGAGGGGGAGGGCGGGGGGGGGGGGGGGGGGGGGGGGGGGGGGGGGGGGGGGGGGGGGGAATAGCAGAGGAAGAAGAAAGAGGCCAGGACGCACCATGGTGCATCCTCTCAACTCTCGGCTGTCTTGCTTACCGCCCCCCCCCCCCCTTCCCAACCCCCCTCCTCCCGGTGCTGCGAGCAAGCACACAGAAACACGTACGCATCGTCACCACTCGCCCCTCTCGCCCTTAATCCGAATCAGAGTGGTCACCGTGGCTGTGACCGTGGCCGCCATGGCTGTGACCGTGGCCGCCGTGGCTGTGGCTGTGACCATGGTCATCACCGCCATGGCTGTGGCCGTGGTCGCCGTGGTTGTGGTTGCAGCCCTGATGGGCCTCCTCGGCCTCCATCTGGGCGCGGTGCTCCTCCTCGATCTCGGCCTGGGGCTTGCGCGAACGAGGAAGGACCGGGATCTGCATCGGGTGGGGGCAGGCGAGGCGCAGAGGCGGAGGAGCACACGAGAGAACGTGGCCCGGGGGAAAGGCGAGGAGTCAAGAGAGGCGGCGGGTTAGTCAGCGAGCAGGGGATGGGGCGGGGTGGGGTGAGGTGGGGGGGGGGGTCGCATGGAGAAGAAGGACAATGTCCAAGCGAGGCGCAGGGATATTGACGAAGCAACGCACGCAGAAGAACTCCCCGATGTCGGTGCCAAGGAAGATGCTGGACAGAGCGTTCAGACGCAGGCGGGTGTAGGAAACACTGTCGTCGCGGGGATCCGGCATCTGCAGGGTCAGCTGATACTGGAGGATCTTGTTGCCATCCTCGTCCTGGAGAGGGATCCGCCATCGCCGAAGGGGTGGGGGGGGAGGGGGAATGGAGGGAGATGCCAAGCACGAGGGAAAAAGACAAGGGAGAGGCACATATGGTGGTCAAGTCAGCATAGGTCAGAGTCAATGTGCGCAGCCACGCGCAGACGACAGAAGTCGTGCAACAGGGAGAGAGAGAGAGAGAGAGAGAGGGACAGAGGGGGGAGGGATGCCGGGTGGGCGACGCACGATGTAGCAGCGGCCGAGCATCTGGTAGTTCATGGCCGTCATGTTCGGGTAGAGGAGGAACACATGCCAGAAGGCGGTGGCCTCGCCGGCCTCCAGCAGCTTGCGGCCAAGCTCATCGGCGGGAACATTGGCCGGCAGGACCTCGGCCGGCAGGCGAGTGTTCTGCACGACAATGGTCTCGCTCGGGGCCGACTGGTCCAGGGGGTTGGCGATGAAGGGGGCCGGCCGGTCGGCCGGCACCGGGTCGTCCTCACGCTGCAGCGAGTTCAGCTTGGCGCGGATCTCATTGTTCGGCATGTTGTCATACGGCGAGGGACCCGGGCCGGGCTTGCGGTTGGGCTTGCGCAGCAGGTCCTCGAGGGTCTTAATGAGGGCATGGTCGGCGAAGCCGCGGCCCTGCTCGTCGGAGGTGGGCAGGCGCCCAAGGCGGAAGTTGTCGCGGCGCTTCTCGGCGATGCGGTTCTCGGTGTCGATCATCTCCTGGGTGGCGAAGCCATGGACAACCTTGAACTGGACGTACAGCATGACAGAGTCGCCGCCATACACGGCGTCCTCTGTGTGTGTGTGTGTGTGTGTGCGTGTGTGCACGCGAAGAAAGAGGCGTGCGAGCGTTTGTACATGTGTTAACAAAGGGCACATTCAGCCTCGGAAAGGGAGACAGCCAAAGGGAGACGAGCAAAAGGCAAGCGAGGGCCGCATGGAAACGCGGCCCCCTGCGAGACGCACTGTTCACAAAGAGACGGTGACGCTGGAGCCAGGGGATCTTGGCCGCGGCGGCGTGGATGTCAGCGATCTCCTCCTCACTGAAGAAGGACTTGAGGAAGGGCTCCAGCTCGCGCGGAGGGGTCATCAGCAGCTGGCGAATGGTGACATTGTTCACCTGCAGCTGGCCGCCAGCACTCATGGAGGTCAGCTTCTGCAGGACCTTATCCAGCATGCGCGGCGTGAAATGCGGCAGCTGCAGGAAGGACGACGGCGCAAAGAGCGACGGCGGGAAGTACAGCGACTGCGCCACCATCTGGCCCACCTCCACGGCATACGACGCCAGCAGGTACAGCGGGATCAGGGGGAAGTCCTTCTCCGTCAGGATGACCTTCTGCCCGGAGTCGGTGGTGAACACCTGCCGGTCCTTGGGCAGGGGGTTCTCGGACAGGAACTTGCGGATCTGCGCATCGAAGTCGCGCTCGAACGAGACAAACGACGCGATCAGCGGGATCTGACGGAGGACCGTGCGGGCCACGATGGAGCGCTCTGCGGGGTGACATGGTCAGGCGAGAGCCCGAAGGGCAAGGGGGGGACCGGGGCGAAGAAATGCACAGAGGTCAGCCGCTTGGGGGCGAAGGAGCGAGAGCAGGGGGGGGGGGGGGGGGGGGGCCAGCTCATGCGGGAAAACGTACCCTTCTCATACTCAGGGGGGAGATCCGAACGAGTGAGCTGGGCATACAGCAGGAAGGAGGACTTGCGCAGCTTCGGGACCAGGGTCTACGTATGGATTTATGGATATGTATAATGGGGGGGAGGGCAGATCGTTAGACACACACCGGGGAGAAGGAGTGTCGGGGACGAGGGGGCAAAGGCAGGCTTCCTGGCTGAGCGGCGAAGGGCGCACCTTCTCCGGGATCGGGTAGTTCTTCACATGCTTCTCCATGATGGAGAGGAACGCGTCATCGGTAGGCAGGCTCTCCAGCGAGGTGGTGAAGGCCGGGGACTTGGTGAGGATGTCGAAGGCAGCTGATGTGGAAGGGGCGACCAAGCAAGAGAGTGAGCGCATGCCGGGGGAGACGGGAGTCAGTCGGCGCCCATCGACCTGGAAGGCAGGCAAGCAGGAAGGACAGGCAAATGCACGGGGCCAGGACGGGGCTGAGGAGGCAGGAGAACAACAGCAGCGAGGGGGCGCAGGGCAGGGAGGCCGGCGTACCAAGATGGTTCAGAGGGAACATGGCGCCCTTGCGCAGGGAGGGGCACACGATCTCGCTCCAGTAGTAGCTGACAAAGAAGCGGCCAATGTCACCGGGACTGTTGAAAGTGGCCTCGGGCTTCTCCTTGCGGGTCTTGGAGAAGCTCTTCCACGCGCGCGACACCAGGTAGCAGATGCCCATCAGGGCCAGCATGTAGACACCCAGCAGGACATACGACTGCGACATCCACTGGGGAAGGGCAATGCCGGCAAAGGCATCTGAATGAGAGGAGGGAGGGGAATGTGAGCGACCGGGATCTTGGTGGCCTGGAGTCATGCAAGGGAGCCGGAAAGCAGAGAGGGGGAAGGTGGGGGGGGGGGAGGGAGGGGCGGGGGATCACGCACCGCGGTTCTCAGTATCACCATGAAGCTCGAACTCCTCGCGGGCCTTCGGGTCCGACAGACTGCGAGCCCGTGGTGGCACAGGCCGACACAGGACGGAGCAGGATCGGGAACGCTGGTCAGCATGGGCGAGGGGGCGCCAGGGGACATCGAACGGGCCACACAGCGTACATCTTGTAGGCCTTGCTAATCTGCATGAAGGTCTCGTTGGCAGCCTCGGGGTCGGTGCCGTTGTACTTATCGGGATGCCTGTAACCGGGCGCAGGGAGTCAGAATCAGGGTCATGCACCGCTGGGGGACATGTTTGGGTGGGGGCACGGCAACGGTAGGGCAAGGAGGGATCCGATCAAGTGGCGGTATTGGAAACACACCAGATGAGGGTGAGCTGGCGGTTGGCCTTCTTAATCTCACTGATAGTGGACTCCGGAGTGACACCGAGGATGGCGAAGGGGTCAAACCCGCCGTGGGTCTCGGCGATGTCCAGGCGCTTGATGCGGATGCACATGATGATGAAGATGGTCAAGAAGAAGAAGTAGAGGAAATTGCTGTGGGTGTGCAAGTGCACCCGGCGGCTGTGTCAGTCCCATGGGTGGCAGGCGGGGGGAGGCCGGGGGCCGCGAATGGGTGTGCGCATGCACATGTGCAGTGGCAGTGACAGCTGTGTGTGTGGGGGGGGGGGAGGAGCATATACGCACAGGACATGGTCGAAGGTGGTGTTGACGCGATTGCGCTCGGCCTCGAGCTTCTGCATGCCGGCTTCGTCGAGCTTGCCGGCTGGTTATGGGTGGAGGGAGCCAGACGAGAGCACAGATGCACGTGTGTATGTGTGTGTGTGAGAGAGAGAGAGAGAGGGCGGTAAGTGGGGACCGACAGCCGGGGCAGCGACCCAGAGCAAGGGCAAACGCACGCCAGTTGAGGCGGATGAACTTCCGAATGCGGATGATCGTAATGGGCACGATGAAGAGGCCGGTCATCGTGCAGGCAAACACGAGGAAGGCCGTGCCCGACTCGTCATACTGGTACTTCATGATGCCGAGGGGGGGAGGGCCAAGGGGGCGCGGCTCCTTGGGGGCGAGATGGCTAGACGGGCGGGGAGGACGCGGAGGGCATGACAGCCGCACAGGACGAGCGGTGAGCAAGAGAAGCGAAGGGCGACAAAGGCGGTGGGAGGAGGAGCGCACAAGGTCCCGCCTGCTCAGTGGCGACCCGCGGGAGGGGGAGGGGGGTGGACCCGAGACGCTCGAGGCGAACTGCCCGCCTGGATTCTATGCGGAAGAGGAGGGGCCGGAGGAGCGGCGGTGGCGG